TTTTTCTCCAAGAAGTCACATGTTCCAGAAACATTCCCTGTGGATGTTTTATTACTAATTTTCTCTAATTAATATTTTGGAAGGGAGTGCACAGAGGTACCGACCAAAGATCACTCCATGTTTACCCTCTTATCAATGACAGGTTTCAGAGTAACAGCCGTGTTAGTCTGTATTCGCAAAAAGAAAAGGAGTACTTGTGGCACCTTAGAGACTAACCAATTTATTTGAGCATAAGCTTTCGTGATCTACAGCTCACTTCATCGGACGGCATGATGTCTTCCAAAGTGGGTCATTTTTCTCCAGGTCAGCTTGTGCCAAGCTTACCGATCGCTTGTCTTCATGCATCTGACAAAGTGGGTTCCAGCCCATGAAAGCTTATGCCCACATAAATTTGTTAGTCTTTAAGATGCCACAGGACTCCTCGTTGTTTTTTCAGAAACAGACTAACATGGCTACCCCTCTGAAACATGTTTTTTTGCATTTTCTTTACCTAGTGGGCTGGCATATTGACTGACATATTCCAAAGGTTGGTATTGAAACATACACACAGAATAGAGCCAGCCAGTGAATTTCCACTGATGCTAAGAGAAGAATCCTGTTCCCAGAATCCTCGAGCAAATTCAGACATGTCAAGCCATACCACATTCATTCATAACAACCATAGCGCAACACAAAACAACCGCAGCCGATGAAGCGGGCTGTAGCTCACGAAAGCTCATGCTCCAATAAATTAGTTAGTCTCTAAGGTGCCACAAGTCCTCCTGTTCTTTTTGCGAACCACATCATACTAATTCAGCACCGTCCCAAGAGGTCTCATTGCCAGGAGGATCAGCCTCACTCCCAGCCTGGATGGAACAGAACGGAACTCAGACCCAGAGTTACCTTATTTCACTGTCCCTGGCAAAGAGTTTCATCTGCTTTTCTTCATTTCCCCTCCCCCATCAATTATTTTAGGGCAGCAGAAGTGAAACCCAGGAGCAGTGGGGAGGAGACTGGAGAGACAAATTCCTCAGTCTGTGCCAGCTTCAGCTATTGGTGCCGACACCATACTTCCCCGAGTGCTTGGCACAGCAGCAGAGTTGAAGAGGGGGGAGATCTTTGCACCCCATGCACAGGAGAAAGGAAAAAACAGGTTGGGACAGTTACTGAGCTGGAAACTCCACCAAAGAAAACCAAAATGGGAAAAATGGAGGACATGTGCAGGGGGGAGGGTGAGCATTGCACCTGCTGACTGCAACAGCCCCCTCTCCACTTGGCCTCAGGACCCTTTAGATCCCAGCGGAGCAGGGCCGACTTTACAAATCCTGGTGCCCTCCACAGCCCGAGCACCTGCACCCCTGCTTGCAGATTGGGTAAAATGAGTTCCCTGTGGGAAACGCCTGCAGGAACCATCCCTCTACTAATGACCAATTGACAAGGCAGCCATCAGACCTTAAGAATATCGTTCAGGATGTGAGTATGTACTTTGTGAATGTCTGTGCGGTCGCCATCCTTGGTCTTTATGTGTTTCTAGAGGTTCTAAATCTGAAACATGTAGCAGAGGTGACTTCCACTCTGTTGAGCTTGAAACTGTCACCACCAAAGCTGAATCCAGGGAGGTGTAACACCACCTTACTCAATTCACTTTAAATAAAATAAAAGGCTACATGGTATATTTTCTATTGGTGCTGGGGGGACACAACAAAGCAGGGAAGCAAATCCCATGACTCTGCTCACAACAATTGCAGCTGGAATATTAACAAGGAACAAATCAGAATTGTCTTTCCTGCTTTATTTACTATAAATACCCATCTGAGTGAAAAGGAGCCGAGAAGCAGCTTTAATACCCACAACAATGGAAAAGAGACCTACAGATTTTGGAAACAGCTTTTTTAATGGCACTAAAATGACAACAAAGTAAAGGAAGTAACACTGTCTCACTTTCAGTGACAGTTTATAATTCTCTGTCCCTCTTGCATTCCCTTTTCTTTCATACTGTTCCTTTTTGACTCACCATTTTTTCTAGAAAGAAAAGGAGGACTTGTGGCACTTTAGAGACTAACCAATTTATTTGAGCATAAGCTATCGTGAGCTACAGCTCACTTCATCAGATGCATGCACTCACTTCCAATCCCTGTTTATTTCTGTGTCTCTTCCACTCTCCTTGGATCACTGTCACAGATCATTCCCCCTCATGGTCTCCATTCTTTCCCCTCTCACTGCCTCTGGCTGTTTCACCTCTTCAGAGTGTTTTCCTTTCATTGTTTTCATATCTAGTTTTCACCCTTTCTCCAGGACTCTCTGTTGGTTTTGTTTTGCTTTGACATATTTTCCTTTTGTTTCTTCTATTCCCACCCTGTCCAGTGTTAACAACCCCAAAAGTTAAAAATCGTGAGACAATCAAAAAGCAGGGGTTTGACACCCACCTCCCGCCCCCCGCCAAAAAAGCGGAGGTTTCAAAATTATATTATATAATGTATCTGGTTCATCTTGTGATTTTTGTCCATTCCCTGCTCATCCCCATGTGTGTGATTACAATGGTGCCAACCCTCCCAGCTTCGTAGAGGAAGGTGCCTTTGGCCCCTGCCACAGGAACAGGTCCATAAGTAGTGCAGGGTGAGAGGGGCAGCCACCCAGGGTGCAAAGCCAGCGGGAGCAGGAAAATGGGCCGGTGTGCAAGTGGGGCTCATGCCCCCCCACCCGCCCCCGATTTCTGCCTTCCATTTAGCACAGAGATTTTCAAACTGAGGGGGGCACCGGCAGATCAGAAGCTGGTGGAAGCCACCTGGCCTGCTCATGCTTTGGGAGCCAGGGAACTGGCTGTCTGCCCAGTGTTAGGAAGGAAACTGGAATCATAGAAGGAACCATAGAAGGAAACTGTTGTCCCAGGACAAGTCTGCTCTCTCTGGGCTGTGCCTCTGGCTTTGGGGCTGCAGCTCTGCTCCCAGGACAGGGTCTGCTCTCTCTGGGCTTCTTTTCTGGTCCCTCTGGATCTGGCACAGCTCTGCTCCCCAACTTAGCTTGGGCCCCTGCTTTCTCCTTAGCTCGGCCTCACTCTGTCTGACCCAGGCAAATCCAGCTCGCACAGAGGATGGGACCTCCCTGGCCTCCTGACTCTGATTAGCCTGCCCACCCTGTCATTCATGCTGACCTGGAGCATTGGCCTCTCCCCATTGTTCCTGGGGACTATCAGTCTCAGGGTCCTGATTTCCCATAGACCCTTCCCCTTTTAGTACTGGGAGCTAGCCAACCAACCCCGCCCCCCCCCCACTGAATTTAGTAAGGGGGCAACAGTCCCCTTACATATCACATCCACTCCCACATTCAAGGAAAGAGGAACATTGCCTCATGGGAACAGATATCTGGATGTTGATAAAATATGATCTTTAATTACCTTCTTTTATAGGTGCCACAGATCTTCTCCATGCTAAATCCAGCCACAAAATTAGAGAGGAGAGCGAGTCTGAACCGGTATTGCATGAGTCAATATTGTACAAACAAATACACTGAGGGAAAAATCAAGTTATAAGTTCATCAGAAGCTTGACTGGGTTGCATGAGTGTCTCTCTCCCAGGGTGGATCTTCACTGCAGAGTTAGGCCAGCATCAGATCTGGCTGTTGCCCCAATCTGTTTATTGCACAAGCACAAAAACTCTGACTCAAGTCTGGTGGTGCTTTACACTCAGGCTAGCTGGCAAGACTTTAAGTGTAGGCTTTAGCCCAAGTACCACTTTAATTCAGGTTGGTTACATGCCCACTTTGCCGTCTGGAGGGAGGTTAATCGTCTCAGGGGCTGATAGTCCTCCAGTGCCTTCCCACAATTCCTCCTGGGCCATATTTTCTTGGCCACTACCTACTTTACTACTGTATTGGTTATCAATTTTTCAGATTAGTTTTTCGTGGAAAATTCATCCAGTTTAGTCTTTCCCCACATTTTATAAAGACACATTAAAAAACACACACCCCAAAAGAATGATAGTAATAAAGAAAGCAAGCAAACAAAAAAAGATTTCCTATTGTAACAATTAAAAAATAATAATTTAAAAGCAAACAACTCCACCACAGTTAAAGAAACAGCCACATGAGACTCCAAATTGAAACAAAAAGTTTCTTGTCAGAGGAAGGATAATGATACTTACTTATTTCGTTATCTCGTTTCTCTAAAAACGAAAGAGAAATAAATATATATTTTTGTTAGGCATTTCTATTTTCTTACCTTTTATTTCACTTTGTCATCAAAGTGAAGGCTGAGAGAAATCAACATCCTCTTCAGAACATCAGACAAGAGGATCCAGTGGTCCCTTCTGATCTTAAACTCTGACTTCACGACTCTATTGCTTACCAGTTTTTTAAAGTAGCTTTTGGTGTGCAATCTATCCAATTTAGCATTTCCCCACATTTTACAGAATTACACTAACCCTTCCAAAAAAGAATAAAAACCTGCCTCTTAGAAATCTCTAATGATGGAGATTCTACATCCTCCTTAGGCAACTTATTCCAGTGCTTAACTACCCTGACAGTTAGGAAGTTTTTCCTAATGTCCAACCTGAACCACCCTTGCTGCAATTTAAGCCCATTGCTTCTTGTCCTATCCTCCACGGTTAATGAGAACAATTTACTTCCTTCTTCCTTGTAACAACTTTTCATATACTTGAAAATTATCATGTCCCCCCCACCCCCCAGTCTTCTCATCTCCAGACTGAACAAACTCAATTACTCTATTGCTTACCAATTATTCAAATTAGCTTTTTGTGGGAAATTTATCCAGGTTAGTCTTTCACCGACATTTTATGAAGTTATATTAATGTCCATAATCATAATAATAATAAACAAAACAACAACAACAATAATAATAATAATGAATAAAGTAAGCAAACAAACAAAAACAGGTTTAATAATGTAAAAAAATAAATAAATAAAAGTTACATTTAAAAGCAAACAACTCCACAATTGATCAAACTTCCTGTGCCAATGATGGAGTACAAAAGTTTAAAACCATGCCCTTTGGACTTCCTGGGGTCACTGCCACTTTCCAGCAGCTGATGGACAGAGTGCTTCGGCCGCATGGGTCCTACACAGCCACACACATTGATAATATCATCATCTGCAGTGACAGCTGGGTTTCATGGCCACCCCAACCAAGTGTCAAGTGGCCACCCATGATGTCTCTTACGTATCATATTCTGTGGGGTGGGGAAGGGGAAGCTACGACCTTTGTTGGAAAAACTCCAAGCCCTAGTGGGCTGCCCTGTCCCTTTCACTAACAAGCCAGTCTAGTGGCTTATTCAAATAGCGGGGTACTATCAACGGTTCATCCTACCACGGCTGCCGCTTTGACAGACCAGGTTAAGAACACTGCAGCCAAAAGGGTCTATTGGATCAAAAGCTGTGACAAGGCATTTAGGGCACGACAAGAGCCATTGACCCAGGAGCCTGTACTATTCCACTCAGCCTTCTCAAAGCCCTTTATTCTCCAAACAGATGCGTCCGATGGCAGACTCGGAGCAGTGCTATCTCAACAAGTCAGAGGAGGAGAACACCCTGTTGTCTATCTCATCAGGAAGTTGTTCCCACAGGAGGTAACCTAATTAGGCATTGAGAAGGAGACTCTGGAGGTGAAATGGAGCCACTGATGACTTAATGCTATTATTGGTGATGGCAGCCTTTACAGTGCCTTTACAGCACAGTAGCTTACTGTCTCAGGAGTGTCAAAAATCACAAACCCCCCACCCCAAGTGCAGCAAGTTTGAGCGCTGTAATGCACCAGTGTAGACAGGCTCTGAGCGTCGACCTGGTTGACCAGGAGTGCTGGGAGATCTCTCTCCCCAGCGCTCGCAGGTGACCCCACAGGCAGCGGTTTGCTGTCTAGTGAAGACAGAGCCAAATGCTTCACAACCACTGCGCGCCTCCGGAGGGAATTCTGCTGAAACCAGCGGGCTCTCACCTTGGCGTGGAGTTCTGGGAGATGGTGCGTTTAAGCATGCGGGAGTATGGAGGGTCAACTCTGTTCCGGTCCCAGAGGCTTGAATTATCTGGGGATCCTGGGGCTCAGAAGATTGGGTTCCCCTTTCTTCAATCCGGTGGCACCTCACCAGGTCTGGGATACACACACCAGTAAACAGAAACCTTCTCAGTGCCCAGCATTCAAACCCCCTTAACTCTGACCAGGTGGGTTCTGGAGACATGAATGGAGAGGTCTCCCCCTCAGGCTGCCACATCCCTTTGCCTTGGGCTGAGGGGGGCTCTTTCCTGGATGCTTCTCCCTGTTTCTGGATAAGAGTCTCTCCCTCCAGGGCTGCCACCTCCTGCTCCCTTTGCCTTGGGGTGCGAAAGTTTCTATTAATGGTTCTTCCTGGGCTGGGGAGAGGCTGTCTCCTGTTCCACATCTTCCACCGTTCTCTGTGGCCAGGATAGAGCAGCTGGTGGCTTGAACCAGAGACACCTGTGGCCAGGAGCTGCCCCGACTCTGCTGCTGGGAATGTGGCAGCCCCAGGAGGGGGAGCGGGGAGATAGAGCAGGGGAGGAGGCAGAAAAGCAGTAAGATAGACCGGAGAACCCAAGGGGACTGTCTGTGACTCCATGTTCAGGCTGTTATGGTGTTTGAGAGGATCACATTTGGTACCTAGCGTGGGGTTTGTACCCTGGTTTGTAACTGTTTGCCCTGAGGTTGGTACTCACATTTGTGAGCTACTCTAGACAGTGGAGTTGAACCTGGGTCTCCCACATGCCACCTGAGGGCTCTCACCATGGGGGTGAAAGTTATAAGGCAGGTGACATCAAAAAACCCACCTCCACCTTCTCCCCACCCTCACACTCACACTTTGTGTGGAGCGAGGCAGGTGCCTGACTCATTCCAGCAAGAAACGCCTCAGGTGCCTGAGCCACTGACCGTCAGGCGCTAGGTTCCCGTCTGTGGGCGGCTGAGCAGAGACCAACGCACCCCTGCAGCCCCGGTTTAGGCACCTGTTGGTGAGAGGGGGCAGCGCTTAGGCCACCCCTCCCCCCTTGTCCCCTCCCCCCTTGTCAGCATCTCCCCTTGTCTTGCTTAGATGCCTCCCCGCCGAGTGAGCTGGCTTTTGTGAATCGCACTGTAAGGTGCCTCTGATGCCCACACATTGTCTAGGGGGTTCAGGCCCCTGACTCAGCTTTGCAGAGTATGATTTTCTGGTTGCCTACAAACTAGGCCCTGTGACGCTCAGCATTGCAACACCAAGTCCCTTCGTGGATTGCACCCTGTGCAACCAGTCATCTCTCTGCAGCGCACAGCTGAGCAATTCCAGATTGACATGGGCGTGCACAGGACAGAGACAGAGCACAGGCTGGAGAGTGACACATCCCAGTAAAACCCCAAACTCTCCTCCTAGAGGTGCGATATTCCCTGTGGGGTCTAGGGGGACACAACCAAGTCAAGAAGCAAATCCCACAGCTCTGCCCCCGACAACTGCAGCTGGGACATTCAAGCGGAACAAACAAGAAGAATTGTTTGTAATGTTTTATTTACAGTAAGTAACTAAAGGTGGTAAGTAAAAGGAGCCGAGAAGGAGCCTTAATAACCACAGCATGGCAAGGAGATCCCCAGCTACGAGAACAGTTTTCTTAATGGCACCAAAATAGCACCAATGGCCAGGAATTAATACAGGGAATTAATAAATTACAGTCTCACTTTCAGTAACATGTCATAAATCTCTCTGTTCCCTTTCTTTTCATACTCTCCTTTTCTATTCATTTTTCTAACCCGCACTTCTGATCCGTTTAGTTTCCTGTGTCTCTCCCACTCTCCTCCCCTCCCTGTTACAGATCATCCCCCATGGCTGCTCCATTCCTCCCCCTCATAGAGACTGGGGTCTGTGAGGCTAGAGAGGCTGATTTCCGGTTCCCCCTTTGCTATGGGTCTCAGGGGCACAGTCGGAGCCGGGATCCCGGCCCCACCCCGAGCCAGGGGCGGATTCTCTCCCCAGGGACGGAGCCCGGCGGGAAAGTGAAGATCGGGGCCTCATCACCAGCATCGATAAATGTCACCTGCCCCCGGCCACAGTCCAGACAAACCCGGATCCTGCTGGGGGCCCGGCTCCAGGGCAGGAGGGTCACAGGGGAGGTGAGAGCCCAGAACTGATCCCCCCACCGCCCCACAGCCCAGATCCCTCGCTCAGGGCTAAGGCTGATCTGTCCCTTCCTCCCCACAGACTCTCTGGCCACCCCCACAGCCCAGCGTTGCCCACCCCCTACCTCCACCTCCCAGCAATGTCTCCCTGAGGTGAATCCCTCACAGCCCAGCACACAGTGCTCAGTGTCAAATCTCTCAGGGTTGTTGGGCAGTCGCTGCCTCGTGTCTCCCCATCTCACACTTTTCCCACCCTCAGACAGGACGAGGTGGGGATCAGCCGTGTCTGGATCCAGAGTCACATTCGCTGGGGAGAGAGAATCGGAGCGTGAGGGGCAGAGCTCAGCCCTGGGAGAGGCTGGGGCCATTTCTCACACTCCCCAGCAGCCCTGTTCTGGCTGGGACAGGCCTAGATCCCAGGGAGCTGCCTCTGTCCTGGGCACCTGAGACTGAGCAGAGATGTCACTGCACTTCCTCAGTCTCTGTAAGGAGACCCACTTCATTAGTTTCCCATTTGCTTGCATAAGCTTCAGCTCCCAGCTACCCCTGTTGATTCTGCTCCATTCCCAGCAGGAGAGACACACCAAGAAAGGTTTTAGTGGGGAGGGAGCAGAGGAAGCAGGTCCAGTTTTGAATCCGAGACGGAACCTCTCTCCCCTAATGCAGCCTCCACTCCAAGGGCTGGGAACAGAGAGGAAGGTGCAGCATTGGGGAAGAGCTGATTAACACCACAGAGTAGGAGGTGGCATTGGGTGGGGTAGCCCCATCCCCAGCCCAGAGAGAAGGGAGGAGCTGGCAGCATCAGAGGAAGAGCATCTTCCCAATCCAGGAAGCAGGGAGCAGCTCCAATGAGAGAGCCCAGCCCTGCCCAGAGGAAAGGCAGGATGTTGGAGAAGGGCGATGAGGAGACCCCCCTGCACTGGGATAAAGTAGAGGGATGTGTCAGCCCTCAGGAGAGAGAGCTCTCTTCGGGTGCTGCTCAGGGAGAGTGTTTCTGTTCATTAGCATGGGCATGAACTCAGCACTAAGGTTGGTGTCAGGATTATTTGTGTTCCAGCACCTTGGCAGAAGTTGGGGAGGGGGGGTCGCACCACCTGTGGCCCTGCCCTCTCCCTGGCCCTGCCCCACTCTTCATCTTCCCGCTGAGGCCCTGTCTCTGGCCAGGCTGGGAGCCTTGGCCACTATGGAGAGCCCCTGATCCTCCACCTTCCCATGTCCCCACTCTCCGGCGTGCACCACCCAGGGCAGGTGGAGGGTCCGGGGGGAAGAGGAGCAGGGGTGGGGCCACTGAGAGGGACAAGCACCAGGAAGAAGCTGCACTACACAGGGCGAAGTTGATCAGCCACCCCTCCATGAAGCACAGCCAACGCTGCGATGCGCCACGCCTGCCCAAGGCTTGCAGTGTGGGGGGCCAACACGGCCCCCTGCCCCCAAATTATGTCCATGTTAAAAAGTGGGTGGGCTTGGCCCCCTGGGCCCCCATGTTCCAGTGCCCCTGGATCTCCTCGCTGTTTAATGGGTTATTTTTAGGGCTGTGTGTGTCATGGCCACTGTTGATTTGGTTGGTAACTTTTGTTACAATCTCATGAAGATGTTTTCACTGGAATTTTCTCCTAATGTAAAGACAATCTCCAGCTGCAAACTCACCCTGTCTGTGTGCTCCTAGGGATTCCAGTGCAGACGGCAGAGTGTCTGGCAGGGGAAAGGAGAAAAGAGATGAGATTTCAGGCTTTCTTATTTATAACAGGTTTCAGAGTAGCAGCCATGTTAGTCTGTATTCGCAAAAAGAAAAGGAGGACTTGTGGCACCTTATAGACTAACCAATTTATTTGAGCATAAGCTTTCGTGAGCTACAGCTCACTTCATCGGATGCATTCAGTGGAAAATACAGTGGGGAGATTTATATACACACAGACCATGAAACAATGGGTGTTTATCATGCACACTGTAAGGAGAGTGATCACTTAAGATGAGCTATTACCAGCAGGAGAGTAGGGTGGGGGGAGAGAAAACCTTTTGAAGTGATAATCAAGGTGGGCCATTTCCAGCACATTTCAAGGAGTTAACAAGAACGTCTGAGGAACAGTGGGGGCGGGGGGGGGGGGAGGAATAAACAAGGGGAAATAGTTTTACTTTGTATAATGACTCAGCCACTCCCAGTTCTATTCAAGCCTAAGTTAATTGTATCCAATTTGCAAATTAATTCCAATTCAGCAGTCTCTCATTGGAGTCTGTTTTTGAAGTTTTTTTGTTGAAGGATAGCCACTTTTAGGTCAGAAATCGAGTGACCAGAGATATTGAAGTGTTCTCCGACTGGTTGATGAATGTTATAATGCTTGACATCTGATTTGTGTCCAGACAGCCCCCCAACCTGAAGCAAATACTCACCAGCAACCACACACCACACAACAGAACCACTAACTACAATACCCACCTGCGGAAGTGAAGAAACAGACTGATAGAGCCAGAAGAGTTCCCAGAAGTCACCTACTACAGGACAGGCCTAACAAAGAAAATAACAGAACGCCACTAGCCGTCACCTTCAGCCCCCAACTAAAACCCCTCCAACGCATTATTAAAGATCTACAACCTATCCTGAAGGATGACCCAACACTCTCACAAATCTTGGGAGACAGGCCAGTCCTTGCCTACAGACAGCCCCCCAGCCTGAAGCAAATACTCACCAACAACCACATACCACACAACAGAACCACTAACCCAGGAACCTATCCTTGCAACAAAGCCCGTTGCCAACTGTGCCCCACATATCTATTCAGGGGACACCATCACAGGGCCTAATAACATCAGCCACACTATCAGAGGCTCGTTCACCTGCACATCCACCAATGTGATATATGCCATCATGTGCCAGCAATGCCCCTCTGCCATGTACATTGGTCAAACTGGACAGTCTCTACGTAAAAGAATAAATGGACACAAATCAGATGTCAAGAATTATAACATTCATAAACCAGTCGGAGAACACTTCAATCTCAATAAGACCAACGTCTTTGCAGCCTCACAACCATCCCAGGACACAATCTGCAAGAGAGATTTACATTTCCCTTTCTCATCCCCTCCCACCCTTCAGACTCCAGTTGGTTTGTCTCATTCACTCACTGCCTTTTGTCGTACCCTAGATCCAGATCATACAAAGACTTTGGCAGAAAAGTAACTTTACCCACTTTGGTCCCTTTGGCCAGGGGTTGGCAGCATCATGTTGTGCGACGGACACTTGACAAAATTACTGGAGTGAGTGACGGACACTGGCGGGGGGTTATGTCATTCAGTCATCATTCAACCCGTAAAATAACACACAATTTTCCACACTGAAAAAACCATAACCTAGCTCGTTAATAAATAATAGTAATAAACTCAACTCACGTTAGTGTTTTTGAATGTACCTCACTGCCGCAGTCAATATTTTTTTTGTGGGATGGGGGCATTGAAATAAATATTTATCCTAAAACCATATTTCAGTGCTTTGTTGTCACTAGTTTTTTATTTTTCTTGTTTAAATAATATGTCTGATGGGAGGATGAGTGTCTGTATGTGTGTGTCCCACCTCTACACCACTTACCCCATGTCTATCCCCTGTCTGTGTCCCTTACATGGGAGATCCCCCATCGTGTCACAGGATGTGGGAAGCAGAGAATGGGGGTCTCTCAGTGGAGCAGGGTTTCCCTTCCCTTCACTGTGACCAGGGCACCCCTCTCCAGGCAGGGGTTATCCCAGGGTGGGTGGGAACCTCCTCTGCCTCCTGACCAGGACATAGGGACAAGCTCTGGCTCTGGCTGTGAGGGGAGGCACTGAAGGGCAGGGGCTAGGCTGAGGGGGGATGTGCAGTGGGTTCAGCAATGAGGGGCTGGACGGAGCTCGGCTGAGGGAGGCTGTACAGTGGGGGGCGACACTGAAGAGCTGGAGCTAAGCTGAGGGGGGCTATGCAGTGGGGTCGGCACTGAGGGGCTGGAGCTAGGCTGAGGGGGGCTGTGCAGTGCAGGGTGGCACCGAGGGGCTGGAGGGAGCCAGGCTGAGGGGGGCTCTGCAATGGGGGGCGGCACTGAGGGGCTGGAGGGAGCCAGGCTGAGGGGGGCTCTGCAATGGGGGGCGACACTGAAGGGCTGGAGCCAGGCTGAGGGGGGCTGTGCAGTGGGGGGGGGCGACACTGAAGGGCTGGAGCCAGGCTGAGGGGGGCTGTGCAGGGGGGCAACACTGAGGGGCTGGAGCCAGGCTGAGGGGGGCTGTGCATCCAGCCACAGAGAAGTTAGCAAAGTCCAATACCCCCTGTGTGGAAACAAGGGTCAAAGTGGCGTGTGCATAATCAGTAAAAAGAGTACTTGTGGCACCTTAGAGACTAACCAATTTATTGGAGCATGAGCTTTCGTGAGCTACAGCTCACTTCATCGGATGCATACCGTGGAAACTGCAGAAGACATTATATACACACAGAGACCATGCAAATACAGACTAACACGGCTGTTACTCTGAAACCTGCATAATCAGTGGTAATAAACCAATCAGAGAAGAGAACAATAACATGAAAATAGCTTGAACAAAAAAAGCCCTGCCAATGATATGATATGTGTGTGACCTATATAAGGAACTTAATATTCATACCACTCAAAGGTGATTGGAAAAGAACTAGTAAATATGCAATTTGGATGTGTATAATATGTCAGACATTGTAAGGGGTGATCAGAGCTTCGAAGGAGAAATGCCCCATGACCTACCTACGGTCCGGGAGAAGGGAACTGACCAGCACTTCTTTCTATATGCGATGGCTAGTAGCAAATATCCCAATGGCTGGTGATGGGGCACGAGTCGGGGAGGGCTCTGAGTTAGAGAGAAATCTTTCCCAGGTGTCTGGCTGTAGGGTCTTGCTGAAATCCTCAGTGTCCAGCTGACCACAATATTTTGGATAGGGAAGGAATTTTCCACCAAGTCAAATTGCCAGAGACCCTGGGGATTTTTTTTGTTTTTTGTCTTTTGCCTTCCTTTGCCATATGGGGCACATATCATTTACCGATGTTAAACTAGAATAAATTATGGATTCTCTGTAACTTGAAGTCTTTAAATCATTATATGAGGGCTTCAGTAATTCAGCCAGAGTTTACAGGTAAATTGCAGGAGTGGGTGGGGAGGTTCTGTGGCCTGCAATGTGCAGGAGGTCAGAGTAGATGGATCATGATGGTCCCTTCTGACCTTAAAGTCGATGAGTCATTTCTTACTTTGTAACTGTAATTGAAAAGCATGTTTCTGGTGCAAACAAAGGTTTGAATTAATCAACCTGAGTGTCTTGGACACAAATGTCTGGCCATCTCACCCAAAAATTAAATAGAAGCATCATTTAAGTGTGAACCAATTGACCAGCACCATTCTCTTCCCACAGTCTCAGAGGCTCATCCCAATTTCCATTCCTAGATCCATTTTAGGTACCTTTGAATTTCCTCAGAGTCTCCGTTAGCACAATAGTTTTCTGGGAGAAATCGCTGACTCGCTCTCCCAGTTCAGGAGAAATCTCCTCTGGCTGCTGGAACTTCCCCTTCTCACACCTGGAGAGAAACAATTTCATGTGATTATATTTCATTGTGTGACTCATTATAAATTCTGGCTAGTGAGTCGCTGCTCTAATATGCCTGGAGTTAGAATTCCTCGACTTCTCCGAGCCTCAGAGCAAGTGCAACACAGCCCATGGCCATACAATCTTCCCTTCAAAGGTCTCATTAATATTCTTCAGCTCTGGTCTGAAGAGATCAGCTCTGGGGACAAAAGGGGAATTGAGTCTCCATGGCCAATTCACTCCTTGGCTTCCATTCTCTGAGGGACAGGATGTTCCTATATAAAGTGCTGTAGAAATCTGTCCACTAGGATCTAGACTGAGACCTCCCAGCTCATTCCACACAGGTCTCCTAACAACCCTCAGGCTGGGAAAGACTCAGGTGGGAAAGACTCTTGACCACTGCTGCCCTGGGCTGAATGGTAACCAGGGCCCCAGTAGTGACAGGCCCATATTCCATCCCCACAATCCTGAGGCAGCCAGTCACTCAGGGATGTGACATCTTGAGGAAACACTTGAGGTCAGTCTTTCCCACTGAATGGAGAATTCCAGAGTCTTCTGTACCAGGGTGAGAACCTCAGGATTAAGTTTATCTGAGAGATTTGTATCCAAAATGTGACCTTCCCAACATACATTGCTGTGGAGATCGGTGCTAACATCATCTCCATGCTCTTTCCCAGCATTGCCAAGTATGTGTGGGAGTGAGAGAGAGAGCCACGTACCTACTCAAGGTGCTTCTGACATCCTAGAGGGGAGAGAGAGGAGAGAGAGAAATTAAAAAAAATCTCAGATTAAAAAACCCCACCTGAAACACACTTGGGATTCCAGGAAAGGGATTTTGCAAATACAGGGAAAATCAGCCCTGCCCTGGCCCCGGGGCCATGGTTTCACTGAGCTAATGGGGCTTTTCCATCTCTAATATCAATGTGTCTGTGAGTCTGCAAAGAACAATAGTCATTCACATTTCAGCAATGCACACATTGAGTTACACTGAGATCTCTGACTGCTGGACCCCGGTTCCTGTACTTCAGGAGCTGTCCTGTCCCTGTGTTGGGATTTGGGATGTTTCTAGCTCAGTCTCACCTGCAGGAATTCACTTGCTGGCTTCTGACACTTCCCCTCCATCTCACTGATCAGCTCACTGAGACGGGAAATCCCCTCTGAGAGTTTGGTGATATTTTCATTCTGTATCTTCACAATCTCCTTGTCCAGCTTTTCCAGCTGGGCCACCAGGAGTCGCTCTTGTTCCTCCAGGAGCTCCCGCAGTTGCTGAAATTCAGACACAATCTTCTGCCTCTCAGTTTCTGTCTGTTTCTAGAAGAAATAAGGAAAGGGCTGGTCAGGAACATGGATGGAGCCTGATGACCTTTCATACAGTCTTACAAGAGAGAGTTTCTTTACAATCTCTAACACATCTGTGTAGAGACCAGGCCATGAGCCGACAGGCCTAGTGCTCAGAGCTGCAGTCAGAAGGAAGGAACTACAGTCGAAGTCAGAGCTGGAGTCAAAGTCAGGATCTCACCAAGGGTTGGGGCTACAGTCGAGCTCAGAAGTCATGCCAAAGGCTGAGCCAGAATCAGTGTCTGGAGTCACACGGGGGATCAGGACTGGAGTCGGAGTCAGGCACCCTCGCGAAGGGTCAAACCAAAGTCAGACAGCAGTACTGCAGGTCAAACCTGAGTCAGGAACAACTCCAGGGCCAAGCCAGAGTCAGGGTCCAGTCCAGCAGCAGATTGGCAGTTGTTTGGACAACTTCCCGTGACTCCTGCTGGCGTAATTCATGCAGCCGAACGTCTGCTCCAATCAGGAGCTTCGTAGGCAGATCCGCTGGTGGGCCAGAGTTCCACTAGCCCCTCCCCTGCTGGCTCTGGAGAGCGGTCGGGTTGTAATAAGAGTCTCTGTGGACTGAGGTTCAAAACCCACCATTCTTCACATCCTGACACTTGACTCGACACTGTGATCACAAAGGAGAGGATTTTCTTACAGCTTCCCATTTGGGCCCAATCTCTCTGCAAGGGCTGTCTCCGTGTCTACCAGGATATAGTCAGTGCGGTTTGGGAGAAATTTTGTGAAAGCCACAAGGGGTAGTAATTAACTCATTAACGAAAATGCATCTTAGATCTTGCAGAAGATGCTGTTGTCCTTCTCCAGGGAGAGAACATTTGTGATATGCACATCTGCGTGCACACACACACAGTATCCCATGATCATGGAGAAACACACACAAGCCCACAGAGAAATCTACCAATAAACATCCCTCCCAGCTCCATGTCCCAGCAGGCGAAGAACAGGCACCGACCAGATACTCCTGGCTTCTCTTCTCTCCAGTCACTTTCAATCCCAGCATCTTTTCTCTCTCTTCCCTCAGAGTCTTCAAATGGGCTTGTATTTTTTCCTGAGAAACCGAAATGATTTGGTGGGTTTATTTTGAGGGTTGTAGGGGGTGGATGAGGTGTTTTCCCACCCAAAATTCAAGATAACAGTCAGTCTTCCTAGATAGACTAGGTGGGTAAGGCAATATCTTCTGCTGGCCCAGCTCCTGTTGGTAAGAAAGCCAAGCTTTTGAGCTTACACACAACTCAGCTCTGGGGAACGTACTCTTTCCTAGGCCTGAAGAAGAGCTCTGTATAAACTTGAAAGCTTGTTGTTCACCCACAGAAACTGGCCATGAGCAGATATTACTTCACCTACCTTGTCTCTCTAATATCCCGGGACCAACAACAATATTGTATACAACAGTGAGTCTAGAGATAGGACATCCGAGACACCAAGGAAATGAAAGCTTATTTATGGATACTGGCCATGTTTTGTATTCAGATTGTTTGAAGTTTTTACATCCACTTTCTCCATTGAGTGGAACCAGTGGAAAACTGGTGTCCCATGATGGTGAATCTATAAAGCTATTTTTGAGAAGATTTAACAAACAGTGATACCAATCCCAGAAGCCACCGGGGGCAGCCATGTAGGCTGGGATGCTCAAAGGAGTCAAACTCCATTGACTTTCAGCCCTGTACCCCTGGGGATGGGATGGGTTGGACAGCACTGATGTAAGGACTAGGGCAAACCCCATTAGATGTGTTGACTTGTGTTAGGAACAGCTGGGGTTTGTCCTAGTGCTGTCCTAGCCCCTTTCCCTGCAATGGCCTCTGGGTAGCGACCCCAAAGTCCCTAGCAAAGACCCCAGAAGTGGTGGATTCTGGCAGATTTCAAAGGGCTGCCTGGTGGGACGAACGGAACCACGTTGGCTGGTCCTTGCCCATGAACACACGAGAACAGGTCAGACTGACACAGGTCTGCACTGCCCAGGGGTTAGTTTTGCTGAAGATAAGTCTGATCCCAGTGGCATGGACCTGCACTGACTGGAGCCCTTGTGGGTGTGGACTGAAGGTGCTTGGGGTCCCACACCATGTTCAGCCCAGTGATCTCCTCTAGTGCAGGCCGGCAGCATCTGAGTTTAACCCTCATGGAGCAGCACAGGAATTCACAATCCCCGTGGGAAACCTCCTCTCCCTGCCGGGCCTAGGAACTGTATCAAGGAGTCTTTTCCTCCTACTGTCTGTACTTCATCACTGCTCAGTGCTGCTGAAAGGGGCAGAGTAGCTAGTGGTTAGAGCACTGAAGTGGGCCTTGGAAAAGCAGGTTTTTAAATCCAGCTCTGCCACTGATCTGCTGAGTCACCTTGGACAAGTCACTTCCTCTCACTTTGCCTCAGTTTCCCCTCCCACCATTTGTCTGTCTTGTCCAGTTAGACTGCAAATGACTCGGGGCAGGGATTGGCCCTCACTGGGTTTTGTGCAAGGCCCCCACAATCGAGGTCAGATCTCATCTGGGGTCTCCAGGGGATGCAAATAACAATAAACACTGTGATACAACCAGTAATACCAGCCACAGCTTGTAACTCCCCCCATCAGCTTTCATGAAGTGAAGGCTACACACAGCTGAATGACAGGGTTACACCATTAAGCTGTAATTAACATCCCAAGTTATTACCCATTAGACTGGGCAGCAACTCCCTACCTTGTACTCCTGGGCAGCTTCCTGTATGGGAACCACCATGTGAGTGCGGTGAGCCCGGGATCTGTCGCACACCACACAGATGGGGGTTTGATCCTCTTCACAGAACAGTTTCAGAGCCTCCTGGTGTTCCCCACACACCTCGCCCCCTCCTGCTCCCTTCACTGTCTGGAAACTCAGCCGCTTGGCGATTTCTAGGATATTTGCCAGCTGCCTGTTGGGCCTGAGGTTTCTCTGTTGCACAGTTTCTCTGCACTGAGGGCAGGAGGCGGCTGTGTCGGGTCCCTCCCAGCATTGGGCGATGCAGGCTCGGCAGAAATTGTGCCCACACTCCAGAGTGACAGGGTCTGTGAAATACTCTAGACAGATGGGACATGTCGCTTCCTCCTGGAGACTTTCCACGGGGCTCGCTGCAGCCATGGCTCCCTCCGGGCAGTGGGACAGGCTTTGTTTCCATTTCCTGAGTTCACACTATTCCCCGCCTGCAGCAGCAAGGGGGTGTTTCCTTGCCTGAAAGTGACTCATGCTGTTTGCTGGGCAGGAAGAACCCGACCAATTTCACCCCGGGAGGCTTTTGTGAAAAAATGAACAGTCACACCCCTGACAGGTAACTTTCAGTGAAATTAGCCTGTAATTAAAACCCCAAAGGGCTCCCGGCCTCCAATCAGCCCCTGTGCTGGTGGGGAGGGTCACTGAGGCATCCCCCTGTGAGGATGAACCTGGAGGAGCAGCAGCTGTGTGTCTAAGGAGTGATAGTCAGGCTTGGCAGACATTTTTTATAATATAAAATTTTGACAGATAATGTTTATTTTAAGCAATTTTTATATTTATTGATTTAAACTTTCACCGTTGCACAACAATCTGGGTTTTAAGCATTTCATTCCAATTTAAATTTTCACAGTTGTGGGAAATTCTGGGGGGATCAGACAATATTTTGGTCAGGCCAGAACTAATTAATGACACTTGACACTGAGATTCAAAAAGTTGAAGCTTTAGAACCGTTAAAATTGTCTGTGAGGAGCTAAATCTCCTCCCTCCCCCAGCAGCTCCCCCAGGGCAATGACCCAGAGCCTCCCCCACCACCACAGGGACGGAGGCTGAGAGTCCATCTGCTGGCGGCTCAGGGGCCTGTGGAATGTGCTGGGATCTCAGCCTGGGCCCTAGGGGGCAGGTGACCCTGTCACACAACCACGCCCAGCAAGGCCTGCTCCCATTTTCTCCCAGTTTGTCCGTCCCAGCAGAGAGACCAGGGACTGCAGGGAGACCAAGCTCCCGTCCCCCACGTGAGGGCTGGGGCCCAATGCCCGAGGGCAGCCGGTGTGAGGGGAGCTCGCACTAGGGGCCTGCAGGGTACGTGGTGTGGGATAAACAGAGACCTCTCAGGCCACTTGCCCATTGCAGCTGCAGGAGGGGATGTGGGGACAGACGGAGGAGGCCTGGGGCAGTCTGGGAAGCCGCCATCGGGGACACGGCGAGGGAATTCAGCTGTGGCGGGGAAGCCGTGCTGTGCAGAGATGCTGCTGCGGATGCAGCTAGTTACCCGGGTCCAGCGCCGCAGCAGGTTAACAACATGGTTACTAGACGTTGCAGCTCAGCGGAGTGAAGTGCTGCCCTTTTGCTGGTCTCCGCGCGGCTTGAGATCTGTGAGCATCCCTCAAACACCTTTCCCCTGCTGCTGTCTCAGGTACCTGAGTCTTCACTCAGCGTTGCAGAGCAGAGCAGATTCAGTGCTTTGGTACAGGGTTACGGAAAGGAAAGAGACTGGCATGGTACATATAGTACCTGTAATTTCTGTCCCCTGGCTGTCGGATGTACCGTGTGCAGCTGGTTACTTAGAGACATTCAATCAGACAGCTGGGGTGGCCTTTTTCTGCTCTGCCCCTTTCGCAGTAAATGGTGGCTGTAACTTTCCCCACTCCGGTCCCTTTGGCATCACTGGGATGCTGAGACCTTTCAGGATCAGGACACCGAATCGTAAGCTTTCTAGGTCTATTTGCTCAGCATCTGCTTAGAGCTCAGCACCCTGGGGCCCTCATCCTCCACAGACTGTAATGCGAAGAGACACACAGGCATTGTATAGATGGGGAAACTGAGGCGGGGAGAGGGCTGGTTCAATGGGCCCCCTATTCACTGGCTGCAAGGGCCAATGCAGACCTGAGCAGCAGCTTGGCGAGTCCTGAGCTCCAGCCAGAGCTGCATCCCTGGTTTAATGGTCCTAAGGGGCTTTGCCAGGGTACAGAGTACAAGAGATGCAGCTTCACCCTGGCCACACCCCTCTATCCCTTTCTCCCCCTTCCTCCTCCAGCCTGTCCATGCCCCATCCCCACTCCCTCCCGCCCCTCCCAGGAGCACTCCCTGTGCCTGCAGCTGCTGGGGAGGAGGCACAAACAGCCACTCTAGCCGGCATAGGAGCCAGAGCACAATGATGGGCTGGGTCCAAATCGCAAGAATGTCTTTTGATTTAGGGTCCAAATTTGGGGACTGAGCTAAGTGCTGAGGGGCTGGTTCTCCAAGGGGCTGGGCACCGGCAGCGCCCACTGACTCCGGCTGCAGCTGCGAATGTGGGTGGAACACGTGCCCTGAAGTCCTGTGTTTCGAGGAGATAAACTGAGACACCCCAAATTAGGCCACTGTTGTAAATTTAGGCCTCACGGACTTGTCCATTAACAGCAGTACGTGGGCTAAGTCTCACTGTATGTTGCTGTTTATACTAGGTCACTGCTCGGTCCCACGTTTGTAAGCAGCAGAGGTGCTGACCTCATGGGTCCTCCAGAGCTCAAACACCCACTGAAAAAATACAGGGGGAGCTCAGCACCCACCAGCCACAGCTGTTCTGCGGGGCTGCCAATGAGCTGTTTGGTGGCTGGGGGAGGTGCCTGGGGGAGGGCAGAGAGCAGCGAGCTGCAGATTGGCTGCGGCTTCGGGGAGGGGTTGGAGCAGGGGTGGGAAGAGGCAGACAGAGGGCAAGGCGTTAGGGGAGGAGGCAGAGTGGGGGTGGGAAGAGGCGGAGTGAGGGCAGGGCCTCAGGGATGGGCATAGTGGGGGTGTGGCCTCAGGGTGTAGCGGGGGTGAAGCACTCCCAGGGAAAAATAAAAGTCAGCGCCGATGGTAAGCAGAGAGCTAGCAGTGTAAGGCCCATATTATATCCCCAGTGTCTACAGGCAGCCAGTACCCCAGGGATGTAACAAGTTCATAATCTTTCCCACGGGATGGGTAAACCCACCGTTTTGTTCACAGGGCGAGAACCTCAAGGTTAACTTGAACAAAGTGAAAGTAGCGGAAATGTGGCTCCTGTCCACACTGTGCTGAGGTGCCCTGGGGAGACGTGGCTTTCACCTCGTGGCCAAGCCCCTGCCCAGTCTCAAGAAGTGTGAGGGGCACTGAGAAGGAGCCACGTGCCTGGTCGAGGTGCCTCTGACGTCCTAGAGGGGAAAAAGAGAGAAAAGAGCGCTCGGTCTAATATGTCTCACAGTGGGGCCCCTGGTGGGGCTGTCGGACTCTGGGATACGGGGCGATGGCTCTGTGCATGGTAAGTTTAGATCCTCCTTTCAGCAAATGCAGAATGGGGGAAGGGATCAGAGTTTGCAGCAACATCAGGGGATGAGATTTCAGCAAACCATGTGCTGGCAGTTGCAGAATCCAATCCGTGAAAGGCCCCAGCCCAGCAGCCCACCTGGATACATGTGTTATCCGTGCAGTTCTCAGCACACTGGGGAGTTCTGCATAAAAATGGCTGGCTGGGTCTGGCCCACTGAACTCAAGGCCAGCACCAGCCTCTGACAGCCCTGACAACGCTGAGTGCAGGAATGAGAATCAGCCAGTGGCTCCCTAAGGGGTCTGCGGATAAACCAACCTGTCCTGGGAATGGAAAGGGGGAGGCAGCCAAAGACTAGTCAGGGACAGTAAATACTGCAGGGAAAGAATTAGGGAACACAAGCAAACCAGAGAAACGGTAACCGGCAGGCATCAACAAGGATCAGAAGGGATTTTACAAACACCGGAAATCGAGACCCTGCCCTGGCCCCATGGATTCTCTGAGCGAATGGGGCTTTTCATCTCTAACATCTGCACGTCTGTAACTCTGCTAAGAACAATAATAATTCCCGTCTCTGCCATGCACACACTGAGTTACGCTGTGATCTCTGAGTGCCGGACTCCAGCGCCCAGGATTCAGGAGCTGTCCTGTCTCTGTGCAGGGGTCTGGGTGGCTGGAACAGTCTCACCTACAGGAATTCACTCGCTGGCTGCTGGCCCTGCCCCTGCAGCTCACTGATCAGCTTGTTGAGACAAGATATTGGCTTGGAAAAGTTGGTGGCATTTTCACTTAATTTCTTCCCAATCTCCCTGTCCAGTTCCCCCAGCTGGGCCAGCAGAAATTGCTCTTGGTCCTGGTTTCAGAGTAACAGCCGTGTTAGTCTGTATTCGCAAAAAGAAAAGGAGTACTTGTGGCACCTTAGAGACTAACCAATTATTGGAGCATAAGTATGCATCCGATGAAGTGAGCTGTAGCTCACGAAAGCTTATGCTCAAATAAATTGGTTAGTCTCTAAGGTGCCACAAGTCCTCCTTTTCCTCTTGGTCCTGGATATTCCAGCCCAGAGAGTCAAAATGAGAAACAATTTCCTGCCTCTAAGCTTCTGTCTTTCCCTGTGATGGCAGGTCACGGACATGTGGAGACTCATGGGCCATTTCATCACCCTCCTCCTCCCCTAACGCGTACATAGCACTTCTCATTTGTAGAGCTCAAGCACTTTACAGTGAAGGTCAGTGACGTTCTCCCCATTTCACAGATGGGAAACTGAGGCACGGCGCAGTGAAGACCCAGATCCCCAGTGGGACTTAGGTGGCTAAAGCCCAGGTTTCGACCCCTGACTCCCAGAATTAGGTGCCACTGAAATCCAGAAAACCTCTGCCTGGCTGCCTCTAACTCTGCAGGGGCCTCAACTCACTCAGCACCATTTCGATGGGAAAATTTCCCAAGGTTCCTGAATTTCTGCTTCTGGGCCTGGGCCCTGCTGCCTCCTTCTCGGCGTCCAGACACCTGCCTCACGTCTAAACCCCAGAAGGAGCCTCCAAGCAGAAGGCCGGCAGTGGAAAGCCTCTCTTGCCCGTGGGGCCCAATCCTGTAGCAATGCGCTGAGCACCCCTTTTGGATCAGGGCTCAGACAAAACCCAGAGGAGGTGCTGGCAGAGGCTCCTTTATAACATAGAGCCCAGTGGTTAGGACACTCGCCTGGCGTCTGGGAGACTCAAGTTCTACTCCCTGCTCTGCCTGACGGGGAGGAAGGGTTTGAACACAGGTCTCCCACGGCTCAGGTGACTGCCCTAACCACAGGGGTCTGGGATATTCTGATGTGAGGCTCCCACAACCTTTTCTGATCAAGCTGCTTCACATTGGCTAAATAATTAAATAGCCCCTGAGTCAGAGCGAGGGGGTGCAATGAGTCTATAGCAG